CTTTCACAGATTCACAGCTCACCACACCACTGATTCACAGTGGTAGGAAAACTGCCTGTTGCACAGCAAAAGTGTCACTATCTTTAAGCGAAATCACCACAATGACTAATATTTGGCTTCTACATACCAAGGTGTTCCACAGTGAGTTCTTTAAACGAGGCCTGTAACATAGATACATCTCCATAAAGGACTGATGCTTGCCCCTCAGAAAGCTTTCGACCTTCCCAGTAGGCACAAGTTTCCCAAGAAAGTCTCTTGCCCAAACAATAATAACCAGTTGTGCCCCAAAAGCTTGCTATGGAAAGAATATTTTCTGGAGGGCAGATGTGGGCATCCGCTGTCTCATAATCATCTGATACATTATTTCTGTTTTTAAGTCCCTATTAAATATTGCTTTCTGAAAAACTGGATTTGTCAGCCTCTTTCTTTGGCCTCTCAGCTTCCCCAGCCTTTGGGTGCGGGTTTGCTCACCACAGAACAAGAACGAAGTAAGATCTCTTTTCCCCTTGCCCTTTACCCTTTACAGGGATTTAATTTAGAGAAGCAAAGCACAGGACAGGAAAAGTATAGAGAAATAAAAATGTTTCCTTTCATCTGCTCCCTATACGAAGTCCAGCTTGTTCAATAAGCGCAATAGAACAAATAAAAACAAAGAAAAGTTTTTGATAGGAGTATGAATCCAGTTTGGACTCACAGTGAATTTGAGAACACCAAGATAACAATATGAATATATTAAGAAAGCTCCTGAAATTTCAGGTTTGAAGATTCCTTGTAAATGATATGAGAGATAGACACGTGGCAGTTAAAAGCATTATAAACTCATGGAGGTTATAAGCATAGATAATATCCTTCAGGGAGAGACAGACAGACCATTCAACAAAGCACAGGGGCAACTTAATCCTACTAGGTAGCACACACTGTTCTAGGAAGTTTAAATGTTTTAACTCATAAGTACAAAGTAGATCTTTTATTCTCTTTCCCAATGACCAACTAGGGCTCAGGTGGGATAAGTAAGTCGCAAAACAGCCACACAGCAAAGAAATGCTGGGGCCACATTTGAACTCAGGTCAGCTGTTTCAAAAGCTGTTATTAACTACTCTGTGAAACCTCATTTTTCTTTCCCACTTTTTAATCAACCAGTTTAAAATTAACCTAAAAATTCTTATTTTAGACATTTCCGAAAAACTTATTGGAGAAGAATGGGAAACTAGGTTTTCATTTAACAGTTTACAAGGTAGGGATGACCTTCGAGAAAATAGGTTGGGATGAAAATCAGATGTGAGAACATTTGAAAAGGGAATACAAGTAAGGTAAAGATTGTTTTATGTCCTTCACTTTTTTTCAGATGAATCTGCCCCCCCCCAACTACTTTGTCTCTTTCTTTCATTAACTGAAGAAATAACAACGTTCATAATTTTAAAAGGAGAGCTTTATTTCTCATAAAGGATTATAGCTGTAGTGGCCGTTTCCAACAGGAATGGCTGGAAAGCCGATCCCCCAGTCAGAAGCCAGGAACCCGTGCTGTGAGGCAAGGTCCAGGGGAACAGAGGTTTATACGAAGCAGATTTCCCAGATATACAGAACTAGGAAATATGGTTATCTATGAAAGGAGAAACATGTGCCTGCACAACCTAGCCTTATGACCTTCTACAGGGTCCATGTTCAGAAATGGCTGTTGTCTTATGTCAAATGGGTGAAGCAAGGACACAAAAACTCTCTGAGCATTCTCTGTAGGGCGGTTAGAACCACTTCACGCTTGGTGGTCTCTTATCAGGAAAAGATACTGGTCTAGACCTCAAGATTGGTTTCTGGTTAGCCCTTGGGAGTCGGGGTGCCTGATGGTAGTTAGCAAGGGAGGGGATATAATGAAGTGTTCTGACCTCTCATCCTTTCCCAGCTGGGAACTCAGTTCTAAGGTTTACCTGGGGTCCCTGTGGCTGAGAGGGGATCTGTGTGTCAGTGGGGGTAGGGGCACCTTAGCATTTTCACTTTAGTTCACACTTTCTATCATCTCCTGTATTTTTCATGCTCATGTCTACCACTATGCCTTTGGTTCTTGGGCTATTTCCTACATCCTTCATCTCAACTCCTCCAAATTGCGCTGAGCCTTTGAAGTTTAATATAAATCTCACTTCTCCAAAGCTTTTCTTGACAACTCCAATTGCTGCTATTCTTTCCACCTCTAAACATAGACCGTAATATTTAGCAACACATTGGTTTCTTTTGACTCTTCAGAACTAGTCACCAGGTTGGTGCACCCCTCATTCCCAAACTTGCTGACCAGAGTTAAAAGGGAGCTGATGTTCTATCTTTTCTGTTCCTCTGCTGACTTTTGGAATTAAGCCTCCCTTATTTCTAAGAGCCCAGTTTTCTCTGTAGCCATCCCTTCTCCCAACCTGTACCTACTACTGCCCTCCCTGAGGATTCCATGTTACAAAGTTACCTGTATCTCAATTTTAACCTGCTCCACATCCAGCAAACTTGTTTAATTTAATCAATCAACACTAAGACGAAATGCATTCCTTACATTTACTTAGTGCTGTCCGCTGAAGGTTCCTTAATCCTCAGAAATTTCCAAAAGTTGGAAATTCAGGCCATTCCACCTTTTTGATAAAGGCCAGTCTTCAAAGCAGTAAGGAAAAAGGGGAGTCTGAGGTTACCAGCCCTTTGCATTTGAGAGAAGAGCCTCTTACTGCTTTGTTTCCCTGCTCATCTGCCAACAAGGATCTCCCTGCTTTTCCTCCAGGAGGTTAAGTTCCAGTCTGCTCTTCTCTCTGACTCCACCAATGGGAACAAGCAGTCACAATCTAGAGGATGTTCAGTGACTCCCGGGGATGAATCTAAAAGTCTTTAGAACCCTTAGGGTGGTCTCATGCTCCTTCCAATTTCTAATTCTTTCAGCATAATTTTCTTGAACACTTACTAGTAACTGAATATTGGAGATACAAAGGGAAACAAGAAATAATCTCCAAGGTTAAGTAAGGAGTTTGTGATGGGGGTAGGGTCAGATAATAGGTAGGTAGAAATACCTACCTAAAGTGGCATAAGTCTAAACTCAGGACAGGAAGCTATTGGAACACATAGAGCACACCTAACTCAGCCTCAAGGGCATTAGATAAAGCTTCTCAGGGGAAGTGATGGATTGATGAAATCAAAGGTCAATGAGGAGTTAGCCAGGGAAAAGTAGTTGGGGGAAAAGATATGTGTAAATGCCCAGGAAAGAAAGAAAATGGCACATCCTGGAAACTGCAAATGTGGCACATTCTGAATGGAGCAGAGTGTGAGTGAGAGCACGTGAAAATAAGCTGGAGAAGTAAGCAAGATTAGGTGTAACTGGCTCCAAGTACTATTTTCTCCTCCAAGAAACACTTTGTGTGGTTGTCTAAACTATTAACAGGAATTAGACTCACATTTGAGGTACATCAAAACATAAAAATTATTATGAGTATCAGTAAATACATGTAATTATATTAATGGTAGGTTTTTCCTATTGATATAGAATGGTTTTTCTCAGAGTTTAAAATTGGTAAGTACCAGTTTTAGAGTGAGTCATTTGAGAAATAGCACCTTAATATTACAACTCCTAGGAAAAGTATTACATGAGACAGCACAGGTAATAGTAAATAATAAAATAATATAGTAAATAGTGGAAATAGTGGAAATTTAGCCATTTCTCAAAACAAATGAACACCACAAAAAAGGGTATTGACAGTAAAATTACAACTTGAATATTTAATTCAGCCCTCACACATGCTGTTATTTATAGTAAACAGGAGACATGTGCGTTTGATTTGACAAAAGGGCGAGTAACTCTGTATTACTAGACGTTTTAGCTGGGGTCAAAATTGTAAATGAAAGCTATAACTTATTAGAGAACGATTCAGTACATAAGCACTCCTTGGCATGGATTGTCCTGAAGAATGCTCCTGCGTGGTTTGTGAGTTTAAGGGTAGCACCAAAGTGGTTTTCAAATGAGTTGGTTTCCTCATCTACAAAAGTGACAGGAGTAGGGTAGCACTATGTTCCCAAAGGCTCCTTCTACCATTAAGAGTTTAAGACCTGTGCTCACGTCTAATTTTTCGCAGGTGCAAATAGAAGCATTTATTCTATGAATGCTGTGTCCCGTCAGCATTATCTTATATTTAGACAAGCCATTTGCCACACTTCTTTTTGCAGCCCATCTTCTTTACTTTTTTTGTTTTCTTTTTGCCGTCTCTTTATCAAATCTTAGTGGAGTAACTACGTTGAGGTATAGTAGTAGCTATGCAAAGCCCTGGAAACGACGTGTCGCCTCTGCTTAAGAAATACGGAGTGTCGGAAACGCGATGACTAAATGTGAACTCCCGGGCACCCGTAGGTGGGAGGCTCCAGCTCCGTCCGCGGAAGTGACCGCCCAGTGGCGGCGTCCCGGCTCTTACCGCAGACTGGTGAGCCTCCCGCAGGGTGTTCAGTGAGCCGCTGGGAGTCCGCAGCATGGAGGCAGCGCGCCCTCCCCCGGCGGCGGGGAAGTTCGTGGTGGTCGGCGGCGGCATCGCGGGCGTCACCTGCGCGGAGCAGGTAGGGAGCGCGCGCCGGCGTCTGCGCTGCTTTCCCGACCCCGAGGCGGGGGCGCTGGACTGTTCCTTCCGGTATCTCGTCCCGCTGGCTCCGTTTTTCGCTGCGCCCTTTTTGCTGCTTTCCTTGCTGGCAGAGCTTAGAAACTGCGCGGTGGGCCCCAGCTGGTGTCGTTAGAACAGGGATCCTCAAACTTTTTAAACAGGGCGGGGCAGTTCACTGTCCCTCAGACCGTTGGAGGACCGGACTGCGGACCCCAGGACGAGTTGGCTGCTAAGCAGGACAGGCAGAGGCGGCAAAAACAATCGGCGGGCCACATAAATGTCCTAGGCGGGCTGCATGTGGCCCGCGGGCCATAGTTTGAGGACGCCTGCGTTAGAAGCTCGCAAGCTTCATCTCAGGCGCAGGAGGGAGGAGGGAGGAGGGAGTAGGGAGCAAATTCCTAAGGGAAAAACCAAAGCTGGCTGAACCAGTCTCTGAGCCTAGTATAAGGCCAAAGCAGACAAGAGGGCTTTGTATTTGGACAGAATTTTGAACCCCTGTAATTAATTCAACCCTCAGTGTTACTTGTTTGAGTTTAGTTTCCATATAGTTACAAATTGATGGTGCATAATAAACCCTTACATAAGTTTTCTGTACTTTGAACTCCCAAGATACAAGATATTTTTTATCTCTCGTGATGTCTTGTAAAACAACCAGGAAGGAATTAAATGCAGCTAGGGAGTGGTTTTCTAGTTATGACTAATAGACAGACCCAAGGACTAGATCATTTTGTTGATGAAAAGTAAACGTAAGAAATCACTGATATCTTAAGAAATAGTGCGAGAAATTAAAGTGTTTTTTTAACTTTTTATCTTTGAATATGCATTTATTCATCAAGTGGACACCTATGATCCAGGCACAGTGTTAAGGACTGAGTAGTCAAATATAAACAGCGTGGTACCACGTACCATGGACTCACAGTTGAATGGAAGAGACAGTCAGGCTTTTATTTTAGGGGTGCCTAAAAAGTTGGTAGCAGAAGTATCTTTTCTCAAAGGAAGTATCCCTTTACCTCATTAGCAAATAAGGGAACGTTTACTAGGTAGAAAAGAAAATAAAGCCATTCCAAAGGGAAGCTGACAGTAATCTCTAGTGGGAAAGCATGGCACCATTTGGAAGTAGCTTGGGAGAGGTGACTAGATATGAAAGTAGGGAAGGTTGGCACATAACAAGAATACAAGCAGTAATGTTTTGAGCAGCGGAGTAATTGTAATCAAATCAAAATTTTTCAAAGATGATTAGTTCTATTTGAGGCAGAGGCAGCTAATTTATATATGAGACTGGAAAACCAATTTGAAGGTGATTTCAGTAGTATAAAGAAATTTTGATGACCCAATCTAGATCAAAAATGGGGAAGATAAATTACAGAATATACAAAGGAAAGAGAAATGGACAGAATGATAATACTGTCAAATATTACATTAGAAAGTTCAGATAAGGTGAGGCTAAAAAGAAACTGGTAGGTTTTAAGGATGGACAGGTAACTTGAACTTGCTCAGTTTTAGAAGTATGGTAAGGATAGAAGCCAGATTAAAGAGGTTGGTGGAGTGAGGAACCAGACCTTGACATAAGAAAATGCTTTTAAGAAGTTCAGAGTGAGGAAGACAGAGATTGTAGCTAGAGGAAAATAATGAAACAATCACAAATTACATATCTAAATTTTGTTGAGGTTATTATTAAAATGGTTTTGTCTTCCCAGAATATATACAGATTAGAAGAGGCAGAGTAGGAGTGCCAAAGCCTAGGAAAAGTCAAATTAAGGTTCTAAGTGTTTAATGTTGAGAGTTGGCTTTGATGTCATTCATAGAGGCAAATTAAAATAGAAATTGGCTCGATTGTTAATTAGCAAGATAGTTTTCTTCTCTTCTTCTGAATAACTCTAAATTGATGTACCAAATAGCCAATACATCTTTGGATTTGTTTTTATATCACTTGTCTTGTTCAGAGGCACTTTGATGGTGTTTAATGTAAAGGCATTATTCATTTCATCAGTATCAGAGTTTAACATTACTCACCACTGTCCTATAAATATGAATAAGGCCCCAAATAATGGAGACCTTTAGATGACAAACGGGGGGGGGGTGTTTAATTTCCTAGGTTGATTACGTTATTAAAATTGCATTATTCCAACCCCCTACATACACTGTGTATTATGTATACAATACCTAAATTTATCATATTTTTTTCTCTCATTTTTTTAATAAGTTGGCTACTCACTTTCCATCAGAAGATATTCTCCTGGTAACACCTTTTCCTGTTATTAAAGCAGTTACCAATTTCAAGCAGGTAAGATATAACTTTCTTTAATATTAATTAGAAAAATTATGATATATTAAATAGCAGGTATGCTTATTATAGTGGTCCTTTCTAACTGTAAATATTGTATATATGTTTTACAACATAATGTTTTGAAACATGGATGCATTGTGGAATGGCTTAATCACCTTTTTACCACTGAATATAAGGTGAGCTTTAATTTTTCTCTGAGGAACTAGTGCCAGCCAGAACTATGAAATGTTCTTTGGAAAGTTTTCCACTCTTATGTTTGTCACCCTTCATGATGGGGCTGTTGTCAGGCCTCACCTTGTAAAAGAGTCCACACTTGTCATTGTTAAAGATACCTCATCTTGGGTGCCTCTGCTGAAAAGCGGGAACTTTTTGATGAACTCTTCCACAATTTCTGTTGGAACTTCATTGGATTCGCCACACAAGACTTTCTGGGAGATCTGCTGAGTTTAAATTGCTTGAGCCAACCACTCCATGCTTGGAAATCTGCCACCCCAAATTCCTGTGAGAATTTTTTAACAACTTCTTGGATCCTTGGCCTAGAGATTCAGGCATTAACTGACCTCATTGTTTGAACCTGCTTAGTATTACTTCATTGACTTCGTCAGTGGAAGTCTTCTTCCTTTTCCACGGCAGGACTCCACTTTCCTTACCATATCTCCCCTGGTACTCATGTTTGCATTTTTGGATACTGGTAACATCCAAAATGTTGCTAACTCCAAAATGTTCAGCCATCTGTCTTTGGCTACTGCTTTCCAGAAAATGTAGATGATCAACCTTTTCCTTCCTCTTTGAGTTCTTTTGGGCCTCCGAGTCTTCATTAACTGTAAAACTTTTCAATAATTGTAGGATGTACCTACAATACAGATCAGTCATTCACATTGAAAAATTCTGTAATATAAACATTGGACATAAGGCCCAATCCAACATGTGATAATAATAAAACATAAAAAAAGAACTAATACTAAAGAAAAATAATATAAGTAAGGTGCAAAGCCCACATCTTGGTGTAGAATGGACTCATTTGGTCAAGTTTTAGAAGGTGAGTTAACATTATGTGTCACAGTGTAAGAGGTAGAGATGCAACTTACAGAGATGGTCAGTATATAGAGGTGAGTCTTCCATTGAGTACATATGGTACATTTGACACCATATGTGAAAATTAGGTCTGTGAAAATTAGGTCAACTTATGGAGGTTGTCAATATAGGGAGGTGATCACTGTGAAGTTTCTACTGTATTTAATTATGAGATAAGAAAACATAAGTAGGTGAAAGATGTGTAGCTGGGTCTCATAATGATCTTTCTAGAAAACTTTATTTGGTATAACACAGAGCTGTAGGACCTCTGTCCAGTGTTTACTAGTTCTGTAATTTATGTACAACAGAAGGAAAAAACCTTGGGTCCTAGGGTTGATTCTGTTATTCAGTGGTTCTATAGCCTTGGTAAGTTTCTTCGTCTAAGCTATTTCACCTGTAATAATTAGTTTACTGCCCTCAGGACTGTGAGCTTAAGATGTATTAATACAGTTGAACCTCTGTAAGTTGACCACCTAAGAGACTACAACAAACTGGTCAACATGTGGAGGTGGTCAACATAAGGACTAGGCCTCTGTACTGATAAGTACATGTGGTACATGTCCAGTCTATGAAAATTAGGTCAACTTAAGGAGATGGTCAATGTAGCAAGGTGGTTGACTGTGGAAGTTTATTGCATATGGGAAAATGCACTGAAATAACAAATGAATGTCACTTATACTAAGTGTCAGCAGTAGGAAATGGCACCCTTTTTATTTATTGAACACTTATATCATATATCAACCAATGTACTAGATGCACAGTATCCACAGATTAAAGTAACTCCCAAAAGTCACTATGGGTTATCTTGAGGGATTAGTGGGGCGTAAGATTTGAAGAGTGGCAAAGAGGGATTTTAACATTTACTCTATACTGTGTGTTGTTTGTTTAGTGTTTAAAAGAGCATGAATTCATGATTTGTGTAATTTTTAAATGGTAAAAAATAGTAATAATAATTGATATTATTTATTGAGTGCGTACTATGCACCAAGCACTCTTCTAAATATTTCAAATATATTATTCAATCCTTAACCCAGGAATCAAGTTCTTAGGTAATTTAGAAGAATGTAAAGGGGTCATGAGACCAAAAGACTTGAAAAACTTTTAGGGCTGTGTGGTAGGATTTCCATGGAGTGTTTAAGGAGTAGCTGTGGTCAGTTATTAATTTCCAAGTGTATATAGTCCTTCTGCAGCAAACTGGGTAGATTTAACAAACTAAGTAGTTAAATCTGGGGTTGGGAGTTTTCAGGTTAATTAATGGTTTAGAATAAGAGAACAAGGAGGAAAAAGGTTTTGGTCAAAATATGAAATGACTCACAATGAAATCTTAAGTGGGCAGGAAGGAAAGTGAGTCCAAGAGGATGCTATTAGTTTTAGGGAAGAGGAAAGAAGACTTTAAAGACTGGGTCATAATAAGGTTAGCTAGTCTGTGGAGAGAGAAAGCTAGAAGGATAAGGGATAAATAAGCTATTTGGTTAAACCATAGAGAAGTAAGTGGTGTGGCATTCATTTTACAGGCCATGAAACAGCCTCAGTGACTCATCTGACTTACCAGGAGTGGCAGAACTAATATTTGCATTCAAGTCTTAAAATGCTGAGCCTCACCCAAGTTCAGCAACACGTCATAGAGTTGGCTCACATGAAATATTAGTGCATGGATGCAAAGAAAGTGTTGAAGATTCTTGAAAGACTATTTTTTTTAAATAAATAACATTTTCACCTTTTTGATCTAATACAGATTTCTAAAATATTGGAAGAATTTGATGTTGAAGAACAATCCAGTACCATGTTAGAAAATCGTTTTCCCAACATCAAGGTGATAGAATCTGGAGTAAAGCAACTAAAGAGTGAAGAACATGTAAGATAGTATTTTTTTTTTCTTAATGACATTTTCCATTGTTAAATCTTGAGATTTTGCCTACCTTCTTTTGTTCCCACCTCTACTACCACCACTATTTATATAGTTTTCACATTTCAGATTATATTAGTAACTGTAAGTGTCTGCTATCCTGGGTACTGTACTGATGTTGGGATATAGTAGGAATAATGCAAGGTGCCTCCCCTAGGAGCTGTCAGTGTCATAGGGAATTTGGACATAAATACTAAAATTGTATAGACACATGAGACACACAGTCACCAAAATATTATCAAATATCCGATATTAGTGATGTTGGTAGACTTCACAAAGGAAGTAATATATTTAAGTTGGGGTTTACATGATAAGTGAATTAACAGTTTTCCAGGTGGAAACGCTATTCCAGGAAAAAGAGACCAAATGTGCATAGAAAGGAAAAGGGCATGAGGGATGGATAGTGAGGATGTCAAAGGGATTGGGAGGTGACTATGCAAAGAATAGTGACGAACAACGCTATAAAAATAAGCAAATAAGATTATAAAGGGTGTTTTGTGTCCTGCTGTGAAGTTGAATTTATTTTATATTCAGGATAAATTGTAAAGTGACTTTAAGTGGGGGGCAATGATGATAAAATAGGGGGGCTGTGTTAGAAAGACATATCTGACAGCAGTGTCAAAGATGAACTGAGGTAGAACAAGTGGTTAATAGCCAATGACCAAGTTAGGAGATGCTTACAATAATCTCAAATGATATATAAGACCTAAACTAAGACAGGGACAATGTAGTTAGAAAGGATATCCCAGATCTGTGTGAGAGTTCTACTACAGACTCAGCAGGACTCAGTAAGCTCTTGTACATGAAAATGAATAAGGCAGTCCCAGGAAAGGATGCTGTCAGGTGATTTACAACATTCTTAAATGAGTGTTAGGCAAGTGGGTTTGGATTTGACTTTGTACAGATCTAATTGATGAGTCCGTAGGGAGAAAACAAATAACTATGGTCACCTGTGAAGTGGTCCCCTTGGCCATCTGGTGACCATAGTGATATTCAGCAATGAGATATGTAGTACTTTTTCTAGGATTAGTTTGTGAACTTAATTGTTCAGTCTTACATAATATATACCATATTTGAAAGGCAAATAATTTTAGAGAAAAAAGTAAGAAAAGATATGTTGTGCCCAGATGTCATAATTCCCAAAGACCACCCTGGAGCCGGTACCGATGCAACAAACAAAACAGCCGTTTATTTGAGTTCGAGCTGGGATCCTCAGATCAGCCCAATGCAGTGGGAGAGTGCTGAGGGCCCCTAGTCTCTGGATGCAAGGGTTTTTATTGGTTACAGCAGGGGTGGTTAAAACGGACAACCCTTCTGATTGGTTGGGTAATTAAATGACCTAGTTTTTGATTGGCTTTTTATCAGGGGTGGTTATTTGTGGTGGTGTTTTTTTTTTTTTTTTTTTGGTAACAGAAAAACCAGCCTGTCTTCTCAAGACACTGGTAGTGGTAATACATATTCTAAATAACATCCCTGTTGATTAATTTTGCAAATTGAGGTGGGCCTTCTGAAGTATTCTAAATGAATGATGAGGGAATTGATATATTAGGCATTTAAATGAATCAGAGTGCTTCCATTACCATTTGAAAAGCATCCCACATGTGTGCATGTATGTATTCTCTTACTCATTGTCCTTTACATTTTTTAGTGAATTAGACATAGTGTGTTTTATTTTCATGTCTACTGGCAAAAATTTAGCAGTAGCTAATAAAAAGGGTTTTTATGTTTGTGCTATTTGGTTTTACAGTAGCTAAATGCAAATTATTTCATAAATTTTTTCAGTGCCTATAACTGACCAAACTTAAAAAGTTTATGTAAAATTTCTCTATGGATTATGTTCTCTGTGGATTTATGTATTATGCAGCTGAAGAGTTAAGTTGGGTGATAAATGTATCAGTAGGTCTTAAGTGCTATGACAAGATTTGCCAACTTTGGGAAATTAAACAGATGGCACAAATTTCAACAAAGTCAAACATATGTAGATTTTCATCTAATATTGAGAATAAAACCAAATGGAAAAACATACCATGCTCATGGCTGGGAAGAATCAACATTGTTAAAATGTCCATTCTACCCAAATAAATACACAATTTTAATGCAATCCCTATTAAAGCACCACTGTCATACATTAAAGACATCGAAAAAATAATACTTCGTTTTATATGGAATCAGAAAAAACCTCAAATAGCCAAGACATTACTCAGAAATAAAAACAAATCAGGAGGAATCACATTACCAGACCTCAGACTGTACTATAAATCGAGAGTCATCAAAACAGCATGCTACTGGCACAAAAACAGAGAGGTAGAATAGAGAATCAAGAGATGAACCCAACTACTTACTGTTATCTCATCTTTGACAAGCCAGTTAAAAACATTCAGGGGGGAAAAGACTCCCTATTTAACAAATGGTGCTGGGCAAACTGGCTGTTGACCTGTAGAAGACTGAAATTGGACCCACACCTTTCACCATTAACTAAGATAGACTCTCACTGGATTTAAACTTAAGACATGCAACTATAAAAATACTAGAAGAAAGTGCAGGGAAAACACTTGATGAAATTGGCCTGGAAGAATATTTTATAAGGAGGACCCCCCCCCCAGAAAATTGAAGCAACACCAAAAATACATTACTGGGACCTGATAAAACTAAAAAGGTTCTGCACAGCCAAGAACACGGTAAGTAAAGCAAGCAGACAGCCCTCAGAATGGGAGAAGATATTTGTAAGTTATGTTTCTGACAAAGGTTTAATAACCAGAATCCACAGAGAACTCAAACTTATTTGCAAGAAAAGAACAAGTGATCCCATCTCAGTGTGGGCAAGGGACTTAAAGAGAAACTTCTCTGAAGAAGACCAAGTGCATGGCCTACAGACACATGAAAAAATGCTCATCATTCCTAATCATCAGAGAAATGCAAATCGGAACCACTTTGAGATATCATCTAACTCCAGTAAGATTAGCCCACATCACAAAATCCCAAAACCATAGATGTTGGCATGGATGTGGACAAAAGGGAACACTTCTGCACTGCTGGTGGAAAAAGAAACTGATACATTTCCTTTTGGAAAGATGTTTGGAGATCACTTAGGGATCTAAAAATAGACCTGCCATTCCAGCCTTCAATTCATCTACTATGTATATATCCAGAAGACAAAAAATCACTTTATAACAAAGATATTTGCACCGAAATGTTTTTTGCAGCCAAATTCATAATTGCTAAGTCATGGAAGAAGCCCAAGTGCCCATCGACCCATGAATGGTTTAATAAATTGTGATATATGTACACCGTGGAATATTATGCAGCCTTAAAAAGATGGAGACTTTACCTCTTTCATGTTTACATGGATGGAGCTGGAACATATTCTTCTTAGAAAATTATCTCAAGAATGGAAGAAAAATATCCAATGTACTCAGCCCCACTATGAAACTAATTTATAATCACCCACACTTTCATATGAAAGCTATAACCCAACTATAGCCCAAAAAGAAGGGGAAAGAGGAGAGGGAGGGGAGGAGGAGGATGAGTAGAGGGAGGGTAATTGGTGAGACCACACCTACGGTGCATTTTACAAGGGTACATGTTAAATCTACTAAGTGTAGAATATAATGTCTTAACACAGTAACTAAGAAAATGTGATGAAGGCTATGTTAGCCAGTTTGATGAAAGTATTTTAAATTGTATATAAAACCAGCACATTGTACCCCCAATTGCAACTATGGATCACATAGTTTATCACTATGTGATTTATTATGATTTAATAAAAATAAAATAAAATTTTAAAGAAGAATAAAACCAATGGCTCCCTAATGTTTTTTAGACTTACTGATGTTAAAAATTAACATAAGTCACTTTAAAGCTTACACAGAATAGGATTAAAGGTTCACATGTTTTTCACCTATATTACAGTAACCCTTAAAAACATTTAGTGTGTTAGTCAAGTGATTTTTATTCGTACTTAAAAATATAAATACTTCTGTTAGCATTTCTAATCTTTCAGATTAAGAAAACATTGTAAACTTTTCTACCACACACAACTCCCCACACTTGTAACGGATATTAACGTACGATCTATTAGAATCACTGGGTCTTATAGTAACTTCCATTGAGATTAGAAATCTTCATCAAGACTTGTCTCAAATATGACATGATATGAATACTCAGTCTTAAAATTTAGTTTTTAACCTGAGGTCAACATACCTTTTCAAGCATCATGAGATTGGCTGAAGTTTAATGCAAACCTTTGTGTGAATGTACCTTTTGTTCCAGGGAAGAAAGTTTCATCAAATTCTCAAAATGATTCATGACCCTAAAAGGATTAAGAATCACTGGATTAGAGAATGTATTCTTAAGATTAGCTTTGAAATTGCTGTAATGAAGAATTGAACACCACGAAGAGGCAACCTTAACATTATTATTTTTTGCTTATATCTTAGTGACTTTTTAATTTAAAGAGAAATTGTAACCATGTATAAATTTGTTTCCCCTCTTCCTTTCATTGCTATGTGTGTTTGCAGTGCATTTTAACAGAAGATGGCAATCACCATTTATATAAGAAACTCTGTCTCTGTGCTGGAGCTAAACCAAAATTGATATGTGAAGGAAATCCTTATGTATTAGGAATTCGTGATACAGACAGTGCCCAGGTAACACTTTAAGCTTGGGTCGTGGGAAGGGAACTTCCTTAAAGATTCCTTAGACTTTTCTACATCTGAATTAAAGTGTTCCATTTACAATGTGAAGTTCTAAACTATAATAGCAGAAGGGAAGTTTTTGTTTCATGATCCATCAACCAAAGAGTGGTTGTAATGTGTTATTACAGCAAATTTCAGTTTGGTCTCACTTGATATTTTTCCTTGTTTTTTACTTAATGCTGATGTCCTGTATGAGATACCCCAATTAAGACATCTGTGCTGAATGTTACAACTTATATTACACACACATTCATTACTCTTATTTGGAAATATGTGATTTGAAACTAAGCAATATTTTTCCAAAAAGAGAAAACATATCCAAAATTTGCTCATCTTATTCTCCAGCAAAGAAACTAACATTCAGAATATCTTTGTGGTATGAAATCATGATAGAATCATAGAACTGAAAAAGTCACTTGGCTTATTCTCTGCCCTGAAACAATAATAAAGTATCCAAATAGGGTGAAACTTCTATATGTGGAGCATTATATTACTTCTTTCTGTAATTCAATTCAGTTTTTATAAACCCTGTTGCCAAGAAGCTCTTCCTGGTTACACAATACTTTGTATTTCCTTAAGCATATTTTTGTTCTGTCCTCTGAGGCAATGATTTCACATTATATAATTTGTTATATTTTTAGAAAGTTAATGTCTTCTTTCAGCCTGTTCTTCTCTTAATTAGGAATTTAGAGAAAACTAAAGGAACTTGATTATCTTCTTGTAATCAGAGGTTGGGCTCATAACAGTTTAAACTAGGCCTTCTACATATGTGAATTCAGTGAATCATGATAATCTTGTATGACAGTTACTGTTCCTACTTACAAATGGGAAACTAAGATGGAGAGATTCAGTATTTACCTATACTGAATTGCTGTTAAGTTTATCAGATAAACAATTTAAACTTGTGCCTTTGATCTCTGTGAAGACTGCTCTTTCCAAATCTTCCTGTCTTTCTGGGATTTTTCTTTTCTTTTTTTTTTTTTTTTGGTGAGTTAAGGTCTCATTCTGTCATTGGAGCTAGAGTGCAGTGGCATCATCATAGTTTACTGCAACCTCAAACTCCTGGGCTCAAGCAATCCTGCCTCAGGCTCTTGAGTAACTGAGACTACAGACACATGCCACCACACCCTGCTAATTTTTCTGTTTTGGGGGGAGATGGGCTGGTCTCTTGCTGGTCTCAAACTCCTGACCTCAAGCAATCCTCCTACCTTGGCCTTCCAAAGTGCTAGAATTACAGGTGTGAGCCATCACACCTGGCCTTTACAGATCCCCCTTAAATTGCAGTACCCTCACAGACAAACTAAGACTAACTTCAGGGAGGGTTTCTTTTATTTTAAAGAAGTCAATTTCAGTGAATATTTTAAGTCAAATTGCCAGGCAATTTAAGAGAAATAATAATTTAGTAAAAGGAAGAATTTTTTGTTTAGATGGCATTTTGAAGCAATGAGACCGTTTTGTACTGTGGAAAGTGCCATAGGAATTACCCCTGGCTTGTCTGAGCTCATCATGATCTTTTGTCTGGAGGGTGGAGGCATTAATTAGCTGTCTAATAATGCTTGAAACATTTTTTCAGCATATATTGAACATTATTATGTGCCTGCTGCCCACCTCACCCCCAGATTTATTTGTATGATCTTACATAATCCTTACAAAAATTCTCCATATGTGAATCCTTAGGAGTTACAGAGGCACAGAGAGGTTGTCACCTTGCCGAGGACATCCATTTAGTAACTGCCAGAGCTGGCGACTAGAGTCTGTGCTGTGCCTGTCCTTCCTGAGGATTCTAAGTATTTAGTGACTCCAGGGGAAAATGTCGACTGAGAATCTAGGAGAAGAGAATAACTGTCTTGGTCAAATAGTTGAGAATGTGTTAAACTAAAGACAATGTCTCTTGCTGAAATTTTGAAGTACTCTAAATGTAATGACATAAAAGACAAAGAAGATCAGGAGAAGCATTGCTATAAAGGTAGCCTAGGATGAAACATAAAGGAGAGTATTGGTCATATTAATTTGGAGGGTACATCCCATATCTTGGCAGAGTGGGAAAGTGAGATTTATTTTGTTCCTTTGTAAGTTTGATAAAATAATTACATTTGTAGAATATTATCAGTGAAACCTCTTACTTCAGGTATTGCCTGTTATTACAAAACATGATATCTTTTAATTTAGGAATTTCTTTTTAATACAGGAATTCCAGAAACAGCTGACTAAGGCTAAGAGAATAATGATCATAGGGAATGGTGGTATTGCACTTGAATTAGTGTAAGTATGTTTTAAAACATTCTTTAACAGTTGCTCTGTGAGTCATGTGATTATTGGCAGACCAGAAATTATCTTTTATCCTGAAAATCAAAGATAAATATAATTGTTACATGTTTCCAAGGAAAAAATCCATTTTATTTTTAGGTTTTATAGAATTCCTAATTGCAGAAATTCTTTTATAAAACATAAGTGTTTCAGAATTGCTTTAGGTCCCAACAGGTCATATATTAGTGACTGGCCAGATTTGCCCCCCAGATGTGTTTTGTAAGGATGTACTATATTTCAGAGTAATTTAAACATGTCCACCTTAGAGATTTCTAGTCACAGCCCCACCATTTTATACTATTCATCCTCTCTGGGCAGTTACCTCTCTGGGCAGTGAAACCCCAAACTGGCGACTCCTATTTTAGGACATGTAGTACTCTCAGGTCTTGATTTTAGGAAGTTGGGAAATGTGAACACATTAATTAATATGAACTATTTTCATCTTAAGATGATTATTTCAAGCCTGCAGAAAATTGTTTTACTTTATGATTTTATCCTCCAGTGCATGGCTGACATGGAATAGTCTGGATCTTTTTTCAGCCCAGAAAGTTGAGTCAGACCACAAAGAGGACAAATTTAAATCCAAATAAGGAATCTGCCAAAGTCCTATCTTTGCTCACTTGGCATCCATTCCAACTCTCCGAGTAGGCTTTTGCCTCTTTCTTTTAGAGGATGATCAATCTTCGTGGAAGCCTGTAGGAGTTCTTAAATTGCCAGAGCACTAGGACTGGCAGTTATTGTAATTATCAAATTTTTTGGCATTATATGGGGAAACACATAGAAAATTAGAGTTAAAACCAAAGTATGGGCCAAAAGGTGGGAGTTAGACTTATTGTAAAAGGGCTTTAAATCCTTGCATATATATGACAGATTCTCTCCCATTAGCTGTCACCAAAAGTAATTATTATTTGCATTCTAAAATTTTGCTGTGTTTAAAAATGTCTCACATTTCATCTTTACTCCTCATTTTCTGTAGGTTGGATATTGAAGACTGTATAATTGAATAAAACTCATTATTTTGTTTTTAGTAAACTCTGATTGTTTCAGAAAAGTCCCATATAATGTATTCTTTGAATTTAGGTCCACTGAAGTATAGCATCTTTGTCTCTATGATGAAGGGTAATAAACACCTTTAATAAACACCCATGTTCCACTGAGATGAATTCCAGCTTTTCTCAGTATACATTTATTTTAGTTACTACTGTGTTTTCTTCTTTCTAAGTATAGGTTATTCCTTTCCTTTTCAGATACAGTTTTTCATAATTTCACAAAATACCTACTATTATCTGGTTTTTTTAGAGTGGTTTTTATAAATAAAAGCAGTATTTCCCATTTAAGCTTGTGCATCTTGGTGAGCATATAGTTTAAGTAGGAGGATTAGAGGGTATGCTAAGAGGTAGAACACGTGTAGGAGTTACTTGTAATTAAAATAACTTGGCTTACTAGCCAATTAAAGTTATATTACTTTAAAACATGAAAAATGGTAATATAGAGAAATTTCCAGTATATAAAGAGAAAGCATTTCATGGTAACTGTATGCCTGTTTATAAATCAAAATGTAAACTGTATTGCCAAATGTGTGTATGTTATGATTTCTGCTGGTCAGCAATACTACACGGCCAGAGCATCATAAAATAGAAAGTTATCCCAATAATCTGAAATTTAGTGACTATAAATGTTTGCTGGCATAGGAGAACAGGAAAAATAAAAGCTTATTAAATGAGGTCTGAGGCTCCTTGACATATGTAAAAAAGTATGAATATGAGATTACCCGAAGGCAAATGTACCAGACTTCCTTTTTTCTATCATCTGTTTGTTAATTAGTCTTGAAAAGTCCTATAATCTGAGTTACATTAGGTCAGTATGTGAAATAAAGATGGCAGTTCTTACTACCATTGCAAGTTCAGGTAAAAGCCTTTTATATTATTGGTAGGATGGCCATGTATCCTGATAGTCTGGGATTGTCCTCATTTATACCAGTTGTACCAAAAGTGTTAATAGCAAATAATGTCCCAGGTTGTATGATAAATTATGTGATTTCCTCAAGGGCTTTGTGAAATGAATGTTAAGACAACCACATTCCATTCTCAGTGTCCAAACCTAGAAATAAAACATGCATGCCCAGGAACTCCAGCTAGATGGTAAACCGTAATAGAAGGTGGCTTATATATACTGTGTCCATTCCATTCTTCCTCCAATATTCTTGATCATTCTGCGAACTAGATCTTTCTTTAGCTACAGGATTTGGAAATTTCTGTGGCAAAGGGAATTAGATCCAAGGTAATTGTTCTTTTATAACAATATTAAGATTTTAGCTTATACAGGCCATTCCCTAGTTGCCTTCATCTGATTACATACAACTTGTACTCATAAGCAAGGGCTATTACAGTAATTTTTTGAGTTACAAACATCCGACTGATGTATGACCCACACTTAAGAGCAAAATTACCAAACTTTCTTTTTTCTGTCATCTGTTTGTTGATTTACAAGTAATAGGCAGATATACCCATTCTAACTTACATACAAATTCAATTTAAGAATAAACCTACAGAAGTTATCTCATTCATAACCCTGGGTCTGCCTGTAACTCTAATTCTCTTTTTTTTCTAACCTTTTCCATAAAGTGGTACTTTAAGTACCTAAAAAAATTGTTCCCCAAAGAAGTGAAAAGTTCTTAATATTGTAGCTATATCCACCATCATCCATTATTGATCATGCTATAACCAGATAAACAAAGCACTGCTTACCGTAGGAACCCGGGGGACATTCATTAACTGTGTTGGAGAAATTGAACATTTTCAAATGATATTATAATGAAATTTTATGTGAAATTCATTGCATATGTTTGTCACTTACAGGCCCCCTCAGTAAACTGGTTAAATTTCTTTTACGATTCCATGCTAACTGTTAATATCCTTAAAGAATGTTACATTCTTCTTTATAATAGTCTTCCCCAATTTGCCTTAAAATATGTTTATACTTGTGCTTTAGGAGATAATTTTATCTGCACTACAAAGATTTCTACTTAAACTTTTGAAATTACACTATGTAACTTTAATATTCTTTTTAGATTTAAAATTGAAGGGTGTGAAGTGATTTGGGCCATTAAAGATAAAGCTATAGGGAACACTTTCTTCGATGCAGGAGCAGCTGAATTCTTGACTTCAAAGCTCATTGATGAAAAGCCAGAGGGCAGAGTTGCACAAAAGAGAACCAGATATACAACTGAAGGTAAGCATAACCTCTAGCTCATCAATTCTCAGATGAAATTATTTTTTTAACTGTACAGAAAAGGACTACAAGAAAATTTAGTAAAAATATTTGGGAGATAATAATATGGATAGTAATTATTTCTACATCTTTACATGGAATTTTTAGATTTTTTACAACATATATAAATATATAGTACATAAACACATATATATATATGGAAAATTTCAAGTAAACTAAATACACTAGCCCATCTGGAGCTTTTGCAACCAGATGCTATCGTTTGACAACACCTAAGGTAATTTTGTAAGAAATGCAGTGAGCTTAAAAACTAATGAGAAACTTCACATTTTTTAGTTAAAAAGATTTAAGATTTTTCTTGTAAGTTTTGAAGGTATTAAAAATTGATGAAATTTTGAAAATTTGATGTCTAATTTTCTTACCCCTCTCCAATCAACCTAGTGTAACATCCAAAAGATAAGTTGACTGTTTTTACACTCAACATTCAATTGAAAGATTATCTACTTTGTGACTATATCAGAAAGTGTTAAAATAATGAATAAAGTGATTATTCAGACTATTAGTATAGTCATGCTATATATATACACACACACATATATATATCTGATATATGCATACAGATATACACACACACACATATTATATTGCCTAAAAGCTTCTGAACATAGGCAGTTTATATACATTTATCATATTTATTCATCCCTTTAGGAAGGAAAAAGGAAGCAAAAACCAAAGCAGAAGCCAAAAATGTAGGCAGTGCCTTGGGACCAGATTGGCATGAAGGCTTGAATCTTAAAGGAACAAAAAAGGTATGTTTACATATATAGCCTAAGTATGTCTAGATAGAATTTTAAATTTTGAACCATTTGTTAAAGGCTAGTTACAAATACATAGGAAAGTAATTGCTAGGTCACTTTACTTAAAATACATAGAGCTAGGAAAGGACTTCAAAGCCACATGGCCCAGTTGCCCAGTAAAGATGGGTGAATATCACATCCATCTAAGACTGGCTCTCAGCCTTCTTTTTTAACTCACCAGGTGTGATATTGTGAAATACATGCTGCTGGCATGCCTCAGAGACCTTGTAGCTTCAGTTCCAGATCACCACAATAAAACAAATGTCACAATAAAGTGAGTCACACTCAATTCTTTACTTCCCAGTGCATATAAAAGTTATGTTTACATGATTCTGCAGTGTGTTAAGTGTATAGTAGCATTATGGCTAAAAAACATACATATACCTTAATTTTAAAAAATGTAAACAGTCACATTAGCTTTCAGTAACTTTTTGCTGGTGAAGGGTCTTGGCTGGGCATTGATGCTACTGCCTGATCAGGGTGGTGGTTGTTGAAGGTTGTGCTGGCTATCACCATTTCTTAAAATAAGTCAGCAGTGGAAGTGTGTGGCATCAGTTGACTCTTCCTTTCACAAAAGATTTCTCTGCAACATGTGATACTGTTTGATAGCATTTTATCACAGTAGAACTTCTTTGAAAATTGGAGCCAGTCCTCTTATACCCTGCTGCTACATCAACTAAGTTTATGTAATCTTCTAAATCCTTCATTTCATGTCAGCAGTGCTCATAGCATCTTCATCAGGAATGGATGCCATCTCAAAAAACCACTTTCTTTGTTCATCCATACGAAACATTGCCTCATCAACTTCAAGTTTTATTATGAGACTGCAGCAATTCAGTCACATCTTTAGGCTTCACTTCTCATTCTCAATCTCTTGCTGTTTCAGCTACATCTACATTTACTTTCTCCACTAAGGGTTTGAACCTCTCAGTATGGATACTGCATGAGGGTTGGAGTCACTTCTTCCAAACTTCTGTTAATGTGGCTATTTTGACCTTCTCCCATGAATCTTTTTTTTTTTTTTTTT